CTTCCTTCCTTCCTTCCTTCCTTCCTTCCTTCCTTCCTTCCTTTCTCATTTGCATATATTTATTTTCATGAATTGTATGAATGGCTACTGTCTGCTCTTTTTTCTCTTTTTCTTCTAATTTTGTATTATTAAAAATATTTTTTTCCGTTTTGAAATTATACTGTTGCAAATATGTTATATTTGTCTGCTTAAAAAAAAGAAAAGCTACTGTCTTATTTTATGAATGAAAAGTTTGAGATGAAATAAAATACCATAAGGTTGATTTATCCACTTCACTTGAATGACAGATAGTGTTTAGACTTGTTTCTGAGAGGGTAGAAACATGTTCATCACCATAGCAAAACTTTCTTTCATAGAACATAGCCGATATTCTTATTTGTAAAGCTTTGCAACCCTGGATTTCCCTTCTTTTCTCTAAGCCAAGTAGAAATTAGAGAAATGTTTTTTTTCTTGTGTCCAGATTCCAGCCATCACAAAGCCACTAAATCTTTACTCCCTAAAACTGTTCTACAGTCCTCCCTTTCTCTCTGCCATTAAAGAATGTCCCTTGTCTAAACATCAATTGGTTGATAATGTAAAAATCAGGACTCTTGTTTATTAAGTGGTTAAAAGTTCAGTATTACTACCTAAATAACAGACTATAAAAATGATATTTTATTCACTCAAGCCCTAAAAATAGATAAGGAGAATTCAGTTAAACAGATGAGTCAACAACATTGTACTTGTTCCATTGGTTTCTTGAGGAAAATTATCCAAAGCTACATTTAGAACAGAGGAGAGCAATGTTCTTAGTAATAAAATAGAGGACTAATGTCATATAGGTTGAACTATGAATGCATATATTTCTTTGCACCTTTTAAAATTATGTCTGCTTTTGCAAGTTTTGTGCTTCAAGCTTCTTTGATTTACTGAACTTGTATGAAGCTGTTATGTTTCAGCAGCTCCAGATTTGCTTTCAGAGCAGATGGTCAAAGGTTACTGAAACAATATCCATACTCCTGTATGGGTCCTTTTAAACTAAATAAATTATGCTGTAAAATAAAAATGTAACCATCTAATGATTAATATCACCAATATCACCATTTTATTTTTAATCATTTTATCATTTTATTACCAATTAAATTATCACTATCCGCCCCCCCCAAATAAGACCTCCCTGGATAATAAGCCCAATCAGGCTTTTGAGCGCATGACCTTAAATAAGTACTCCCCCGAAAATAAGCCCTCCCTGAAAATATTGCAACACAGCAGCAACCATGAGGTGACCACGCTCACCGGCTCCTGCACTTCAAAAATAATAAGACCATCCCAAAAATAAGGCCAGGTGCTTATTTTGGGGGGTCAAAAGAAAATAAGACCCTGTTTTTCAATCTTTTTTGCAATAGTTTATGATACAAACTGGTTATGCAATAATTGCATTTTTAACCTCAGGTTTACTATGCAAAAAAGAAGCGACGACATCAACAGGGACAAGGAGATGATTCTAGTCACAAAAAAGAGCGGAAGGTTTATAATGATGGATATGATGATGACAACTATGACTACATTGTGAAAAATGGGGAAAAATGGATGGATCGTTATGAAATTGATTCTTTAATAGGCAAAGGTTCATTTGGACAGGTAATGATTGAATAATTTGAATAAAAGCAACTCAAAGCATTATCCCATCACATATGGGTGGTTTTTGATATACTCTTCACAATCCATTTTGGGTTGTTTTTTTTAGACTGATGGTGGTGGGGAAGAAAACCCAATTTTTTCCGTTATACTACCTTGATTTAATATGTTGATGTGCACAGGTCTGTATAGAGGTATAGATTTTTTATAGATTTGATAGACAGATATTACATTCTACTTCCTAATAGCCTACCAATATATAATGCAACAATACAGTATGCATATGTCATCACAGAAACTATTCACTAGAAATTCTGTGCAGATCTGACCAAAGTCCTATTTCAATTCTTTTTACTTCTGATTAGGCAAGTAGTTTTAAGTGTTAGATTTCATGTAATTTGACAAATAAAGAATTTTAGAAAATGTTTAATCACTAATTAATTCCAAAAATGTTCAAGTTCTTTTCCTCCTTTCAAAAATCTGGACTGTTTTTATCTTCTACACAAATACATATGTATTAAAGAAGTTCTGTTGATTATAGAAGGTGTTTTATTTCAATAATAGTTTTGTCTTTTTGCTTTAACATGCAGTTGTATCTGTTTTGTGTTTTTCTTTTCTACATTTCTGCATTTACATTTCTACAGGTTGTAAAGGCATATGACCGTGTGGAACAGGAGTGGGTAGCTATTAAAATTATAAAGAACAAGAAGGCTTTCCTAAATCAAGCCCAAATTGAAGTGCGACTTCTCGAGCTTATGAACAAACATGACACAGAAATGAAATATTACATAGGTAATTTATCTTTTTGAGAGATAGCTTTTGACTGTCTTAGTTTTTATAATGATCAACCATTATATTTTCATTGTCTTTTTGAGGTTATAATATATTTCCTGTAGATGAAACTATCAAAACATCATGAGACACTAAGACAGGGAAACACTCAGTATAGGCATTTTTAAAACACTTTTTAAATATGAAATGTAAAAAGTAGCTTTTTCTGAACTAATGGCAGTTCTGTAACTAAAGTTAACTTTATGTAATTCAGAATGGTTTAATTATTCTGCTGTGCATTCTGTTGCAGAATCAAATATTATGTATAAGGGCGATTGTAAAGCTGCAGTAATGAAATTTGTTTTTACATACATCCTTAATTCTAGACAAGAAAATAAAGGCACATATTCTCTTTGTACTGGCAGCAGTATATTTCTTTAGTTGTGCATTTAGTTCAATTAAATTTTAGTCTAATTTCAAATAGTTTAAGAAGAAAGGTTGTGTAGTGATCAGAAACCTGAAGCCTCAAGCATAGAAAGTCTATAAATGAAGGGGTACAGTTTGTACTTTTTAGAAAAAATAAGTGCCACCATTTTAATTTTAGCATCATGTGATTTTCTAAGAAATGAATTACCTATAACTTTTTTCCAAAAGGAACTTTTACAGTTATACTTTTTTTAAAGGGGGAGGGTTTGGGGGGGGGGGACAACTTTTGGAAGCAATAACTTCCTTAGGGAGATGCTTAAAAGTTTGACACGATACCTGTAATTTAGCAATAGCAATAGCAGTAGACTTATATACCGCTTCATAGGGCTTTCAGCCCTCTCTAAGCGGTTTACAGAGTCAGCATATTGCCCCCACAGTCTGGGTCCTCATTTTACCCACCTCGGAAGGATGGAAGGCTGAGTCAACCTTTGAGCCGGTGAGATTTGAACTGCCGAACTGCAGTTAGCAGTCAGCTGAAGTGGCCTGTAGTATTGCACTCTAACCACTGCACCACCTCGGCTCTTAACATCTCCCACCTCTTTTTTTCTTTCAGTACATTTGAAGCGTCATTTTATGTTCCGAAACCATCTCTGCTTAGTTTTTGAAATGCTCTCCTATAATCTTTATGACCTTCTACGGAATACAAATTTCAGAGGGGTTTCATTGAACTTGACGCGAAAGTTTGCACAACAGATGTGTACTGCACTGCTTTTTCTTGCAACTCCTGAACTTAGTATCATTCACTGTGATCTAAAACCTGAGAACATCTTGCTATGTAACCCCAAACGAAGCGCGATCAAAATAGTTGATTTTGGCAGTTCTTGCCAGCTTGGACAGAGGGTAAGTATTATCACATCAAGATATTTCAATATTGTTTGTTGTTTTGTTTTGTTTATATTTTAAATAAATCAGTATACTCCAAAAATAATTTGATATACTGCTAATTACTACATAAGGACAAAATAAGCCAAATGTTTTTAGCAATAAAGGGACTACCCATATTTCTGCATGTTCCTAACTAAGCATTCAGAATGTACAGTATATCCAATGTGGCTGCAGTCTCCATAGTAGTAAATGATAACTCTGTTTGCAGTGTAGTGCACAGTTAAGCTCTGTTGAACTCTTTTCTAAATCATAGCCAGAGTGTTAGTTTTGCATTTAAATAAAATAAAATAAAAACATATATTTGCCAGTGCATAGTTTTGATGGCTCAAATAGCAGAGTAATTCTGTTTCAGAAAGCAGAAGGACAGAGTTTTGTTTTTGTTTTTAAGGTTTCTTGAAGTTATGCTTTTAAGGTTTGAGTCAAGGATTCTTGAATGGAATTCTAAGTCTGTAAACTAGTTTGTTTAGTTTTTTAAAAAACCATCCGAAAGAGGTCACAGCAAACCACTTTCATATTGTTAAGAAAATATATAGATGTGGAGTCCTTATTGCTCTCTGGGGTTGATTGTTTGCTTGAAGAAGTTTCATTACCCAATTAAGCAATATCATCAGTACTAGTGAGTGTAAGAGTAGCTTGCCCTGCCAATATTGATGTGGGTATGATTTTTTCCTTTGTAAATCCTCAAGTATAGTTTTCTAGTCGATTGTTTGCCTGATATATTCCCCGATTATCTGAGTGTTGGTTGCTGGAGAGGATGTGTTCTAGTCTTTTTGTTTCCTACTGTACATAAACAGGGAGCAAATTCTACACTTATTTAACACTGATGATGTTATCTACTTGGGTATAAAAAGGTCTGGAAGCAAACAGCTCTATAGTTCAACCTTGAATTAAATAGATTCTCTTTTATTAAAATATATAGATATGTCCCTGCATCACCTGAAGTTGAACTCTGCTTGAAGGAGGCTTATTTTATTAAGTTGTTTAGAATCTGGTAGCAAGTAGCTGTGTATGTGAGAGAGAGCAGGTGTGTGTGTGTGTCAGTCCAAGCTGTGCAATGACTTGAGACTAAACTCTGCTTCATCCCACCTCCTTGCCTGGTTGGTAGTTTCCCAACATCATATGAATCTTTCACAAATAAGGAAACAGAATTGCAATTTATTAAGCAAAGTATTTTTAACATTTTCTGTTGTATAATTGCATATTTAACTTTAAGCTTCTTTTTTAATTACCAAGTTTTGTAGCATTTAACATTTTTTCTCCTTATTTTGTATTTCAAACAAATTATGTGCAATATAGAATCATTACTTTCGAACTAGATTTTTTGGGAGATTACTTAATGTCTTTGTTTCTGAAATGCAGATATATCAATATATCCAGAGTCGTTTTTATCGATCACCTGAGGTGCTATTGGGAATGCCTTATGATCTTGCAATTGATATGTGGTCCCTTGGTTGTATCTTAGTGGAAATGCACACCGGAGAACCTCTTTTCAGTGGAGCAAATGAGGTATGCTGATATTCATGAATTTTTATTATACTGAGTTGCCTATTTCTTAAGTTTTAAATATTTGGTTACACTTCTAATTGATTTTCCTCATTTGAAACAGGTTGATCAGATGAATAAAATAGTGGAGGCTTTGGGTATACCACCTGCTTATATTCTTGACCAAGCACCAAAAGCAAAAAAGTTTTTTGAGAAATTGCCAGATGGCTCTTGGACCTTAAAAAAGACCAAAGATGGGAAAAGGGTAAATAGATATTTTGATCTTTGATCTAGATTAATCTATTTGTAACTATGCTGGCTCCCTTAGCTAAGAAACAGAGATGAACACTGTTCCCTAGAATCAGAATCAACTGGAAAGGGGAAACCTATACTTTATACTGTTAGCTAATCCTGATTTAAATGAGAACAGTTTCCCTACATAGAGAAATTATTAATTTCTGTAATTAATTATTCATACTTCCTACTATTAGGAAGTATAATAGCAAAATAAATGACAAACATACATCGGTTTTCAGTAAAAAAAATACTTCACTTTAGTTACATATCAGAAATAAACTATGTAATAATTATAATTATTTACTCTACAGATTTTACTAAAAAGAATAAAAGCAAAAGTTAAAAATATGTAAAAATGTACTGATATTGGTTTAGACTAGTTTAAGACACTAGACTATGTAGGCATGTATGCGCGCACACACACACACACACACTGAAGTTGCACTTAATTTTTGTTCTGCAGCATATGCTAACTCACATGCTATACACTTTCTAAATTAGGGAAACCGTAGGGAAATGTTGTATGCCACCCAGAATCACTTCTGTGTTATTTTATATTTATTATTAAATTTATTGTTTCCTCGTCTTATCACAGGGTAATCCTGTGGCATATAAATTTAATAAATAAATAAAATATTCATAAGGGAATAGTTTATAAGCATTGACATCTGATCTCTGAGTGGCTGTTGTAATACATAAATATAATATTAATCTACTGTCATGGCATGTGGAAATAACCTTCAGAGATGAGGGGAAAGATGATATCTAAGGAAGATCGGACAAGAGGAGGAGGACATGCCCTAGTTAGGTCAAAAGTGGCAAGAGATTTATACTCTCAGTTTTGCAAATTTGATGTCCACCCTCCCATGTAAATTTCTCACCATTACTTTTAACAGCCTGACCAGGTTTTTTTTTTTGGGGGGGGGGGGTTCCTTCCTAAGTTTATTTTGGTTTCTCAGGTTTTCTTTTAAAGTAAATGAATATTGTTGATATTTTGATAACCAACCAATTTTGTTGAATACATGATGCACAATGACAATAAATGCTGTTGCTGTTGTAGTTGTAAAAGTTTCAGAAGTGTCTTTCTTGCCATTATCATCTTCCTAAACCTGAGAGTGACTGGCCCAAGATCACCTAACTGGCTTTGTGTTTAAGGCAGGACTAGAACTCAAGGTCTCTCAGTTTCTACCCTGATGCCTTAATCTGTACACTAAACTGGCTCTGAAGACTTCAGGGACCCATTTAGGCAGTCACCAGGAGTCAAAAACAAAAACCAACACCCAGAACGAAAACTAAAATACCCTAAATCAAGGGTAGGGTTTTTTTTTAAAAAAAAACCAAGAACAACTGGAAGTATTTATATTGTTAGCAAACTGATCTGAAATAATAAAAAATGCAACTATATTTTTTAAATGTAAAGAATTTCTAATTTTCTAACAGGAGTACAAACCACCTGGAACCCGTAAACTTCACAATATACTTGGAGTTGAAACAGGAGGACCAGGAGGGCGTCGTGCTGGGGAGTCTGGTCATACTGTAGCTGACTACTTGAAGTTTAAAGACCTCATCTTAAGGATGCTTGATTATGATCCAAAAACCCGAATTCAACCTTATTATGCTCTGCAGCATAGTTTCTTTAAGAAAACAGCAGATGAAGGTACAAATACAAGTAACAGTGTGTCTACAAGTCCTGCTATGGAACAGTCACAATCTTCAGGAACCACTTCTAGCACATCTTCAAGCTCAGGTACACGCGTGATTCCTAAAACATTTTGTAAATAAAGTCATTGGAATAATATTTACTATAGACGTAAAAATGATTTTATATTATTTTAGATCTGGCTCTCTTTCTCCTTTTTAAAATTCTAGCTAGTCTTTTTTCCCTTTGTAATGAACTTATTATGCTTTCCTGTTGTCACATCAACATTTCTGATTATATCATCTTCAACGTATTTGTTTTGCTTATGATTAAAGGTGGCTCTTCGGGGACAAGCAACAGTGGAAGAGCACGGTCAGATCCAACACACCAGCATCGACATAGTGGTGGACACTTCACTGCTGCTGTACAAGCTATGGATTGTGAAGCGCACAGTCCTCAGGTAGTTTTGAAAGGAAGTCTCTGTTAACTAATTGTTGACATGCTTAAATAACCAAATAGTTGTGCTCCGTGATCACACTACAGTAACAATCTTTTACCAGTTCTGCAACTATTTTTATCATTCAGATAATATTTGATAATATGATTAAAACTGAAATAATTGCCCAAAAGCTAATTGTTCTTTCTAAATCACATTGTTAAAATTGTTTGAACAGTTGACGTATGCATTTTTGAATCAGATCTAAGAACTTTCTGCAGGAGATAGATACTAATAAGTAATGACTATATTTCATCTTTTAAAGTTTTAAGTTATATTTTTGGCAACAGATAAATCAAGTTCAGTGTAGTACAAATGTAACTCTGCTTTGTTCAGATTTGATGACATAAAATAACTTAACCCCTCATGTGTGTGTTTGTGTGTGTATTGTTGTTATAGGTTCGACAGCAGTTTCCTCCTCCTCTTGGTTGGCCAGGAACTGAAGCTCCTACACAAGTTACTGTTGAAAACCATCCAGTTCAAGAAACCTCTTTCCATGTTACTCCTCAGCAACAAAATGCATTACATCATCATCATGGAAATAATTCCCACCACCACCATCACCACCACCATCATCACCACCATCATCATGGACAGCAGGCCTTGGGTAGTCGGACCAGGCCAAGGGTCTACAATTCTCCAACAAACAGCTCGTCCACCCAAGATTCCATGGAGGTGGGCCATGGTCACCACTCCATGACATCCCTGTCTTCCTCAACAACTTCTTCCTCTACATCTTCCTCCTCAACTGGTAATCAAGGCAATCAGGCCTATCAGAACCGCCCTGTGGCTGCTAACGCGTTAGACTTTGGACAAAATGGAGCTATGGACGTCAATTTAACGGTCTATTCTAATCCACACCAAGAAACTGGCACAGCAGGACACCCAACGTACCAGTTTTCTGCTAACACAGGTCCTGCTCATTACATGACTGAAGGACATCTTACAATGAGACAGGGAATTGATAGGGAAGAATCTCCCATGACAGGAGTTTGTGTTCAGCAAAGTCCTGTGGCCAGCTCGTGACTAAACTGAAACAGATTTGTTTCTTGTGTGTTTTTATAGAAGTGGTGTTTTTCCAAAAAAAAAAAAAAAAGTGCAAAGCTGCTTGAATCAGGAGGAGATAGACTTATTGAACCGCTACAGAAGGGCAAAGCTAACTATTTTTTTAAACTTGAACAGATTGCAGTGAAGTTTTTAGAGCCATGTTCATACCTATCCTAGATAGCTTTGAGAAGATTTCTCACCTTTTTGCCCGTTTTAATTATTACAACCAAGTCACATATATATTTTTCCCCTTGTTCAACAGAATGAAAATTCAAGAGTTGATCTTAGTTGCAAGCATATTTTAAGGCATGCCCAGGATCATATAAATGGGCATTTTGAAGTTTTTGTTTCTTTCTTTTTAATATTAAGGGGGAGGGATGGGGAGTAATAATGAATTTCCATTCCCCAAACATACATGAACACAAAAAGCAGTACTGTAAGGAAGAGGGACCCTAAGATTACAAAACAGAATCTTTAGCTGTAAAAAGGATGGTTGTAATGGTGTCCATGAGACACATTAAGCATGCTAAGTGGCGGTGATTAAGACTCCTTATCTGAACCTACTGAGAATCAAAGCAGCAATTATATTGGGATTCTGTGTCTCATGTTTGAGGCTACAATCAGTTAGTATTGAAATAAGACTGGTCCTGTAAGTAAGGTGCACTGAGAAGCAATCAGCAGGTTGGTCTTGACCAGTCCAGGGGAAGTCTTAAGTGGTGGTCTTTGGGATAACCTTTGGCCTTATGGATTTGGACTCTAAGTTAGAAGAGCCTACCATTTCAGATGCAATCACTTTGGGACATGCTTTTGCAGACAGTCCTTAATGCTGAAAACACAGAGAATGGGTAATTCAAGAGGCCTTTCTTTTAAAATAGACTTTGTGACCCACATATTGTAAGGTATTGCAAGGTCACTTTGCGTGTGTCATAAAGCTGACTTCCTTATTGGTTGAAGGTCACAGGAGTAGTGGTTTGCTTTTGATGAAAATAGCTACAACTGTGTTCCTCTCTGCTTTTCACTTTCTTTTTTTTTTCTTTCCTCCTATGTCTTCTTCCTCTTTTTGCTTTTTCTGGGCACGTGGTTTCTCCACTGTTACTTCTGCACAAAGATGTCTTCTGTTCGACCTGAACATTTTTAAAAATGCAGAATTTTATGTGACTGCTTTTTTGCCTCACAATTATGCTGTGAATTTTACAAATTTTTTTTCTTTTTTGATAATTTATTGTACCAAAGCTGTTTTTATAGCACATAGATGTCTGTAACCAATAATGTAGCAGTTCTGCACTTTGACACAAGGTGTAACTAGACCATTTTTAAATGTCAGTTGAAAATTATGGCTGTACTATTGCTTAAACAAAACTGGAACTGTTGTTTATTCATAGCCAATACATTTACAACAGTCTGTGTATTGAACATGATAGATAGGACATCTAATTCAACACTGTAACATCTGTTGCATTATAAATGTGTTCAAGCTTCTGAAAGTAAAAGGGACAGTAAAGCCAGAAGCTATGAAACCAGCAGTTAATTTGTTGTATCCCTTATTAGCATAAATGTAAACCTGAAGGCAAGACCTTGATTGCATGAACAGATCCAAAACACTAAGATGAGTGAAGTAAAAAAAAAAAGGCTCAAGTGAAATCTGAGGCTGAGTAGGCTGTACTTAACAGGAGGTCTGCTGCCTTAATCAGTTTGGCAGTTGCTAAATTTCAGAACCCTTTTGAAGATTTTTGAAATTACGAATATGAACATTGTGAATAAAATAGAGGAATTAGGGTAATAAAGTGGTTATCTTTCCAGATTAACACTGTTTTGCCCTTTACACGAACAGAAGCAGTAATCTACCTCTGCCAGTAAACCAGTTAAAGGCCATTCAACAAAATACCGTGCACTTCAGACTGGTTAGTCCTTATAGCAAACTAGGTTGGTTCTCCTGAACAAATTTTTTTCTTTCTTTTTTATAATCATTCCTTATATTGGCAACAAAGAGGCTGAATGCAGTGGAAGTATGAAAGAATGCTTTAGAAATAAGGAGTTTTTGTAAAGCAACTTTTTTATCAAGGTATCCATATTTATTTTATATTGCGATCTCAAGCCTGTGAATTGATGTTTTTGAACTTCTGCGGTTCAAAAATGTTTGCTGGGCAAAAGGCTGTCATCACAACAATGGAGCATTGAGCTTAGCAATACAAAATGGAATCCAATATGTACTGCTGTCTAGGAATATAAGGGTAACAAATATGGGTAATTTTTCTTGTGCTGGTTGCCATACCTTAACAAGCACCAAAAATACTGTTTTTAAATTTACATAAAGAAAAATCATAAACTCTAGTGCTTCTGCATACTGTGTTATGTTACAGTCCAGTTTTGTGTGCTTTACTACACAGTTTGGTTACAGGACTTCTGTGCATTGTAAACATAAACAGCATGGAAAAGGTTAAATACCTGTGTTCAGATTGTAAGATCTAGTCCGGACTTGCTGTGTATATTGTAACGTTAAATGAAAAGACAAGCCCTTTGTATTATAGTCATGCAGTCTTATGTATGATAAACAGTTGAATAATTTGTCCTCAGACTCTTTACTGTGCTTTAAAAAAATAACTTAAGATAAAATGTAAACATAGTAAAATCTTCCTATGCAATTAACCTACTTCAAGGCCTGGTCTGCTAGGTATGATTATAGTAACGTGTAAATATTAGAAACATTTGAGACAGATTTTAAGAATATGGAAGTAAAACTTGGAGGTGTAATATATTATTTTGAGTTTTTAATTCAAATAGCAAGACATTTTTTGAAATGCCCACACCTCTTCTCTGTTTTATTCTGACTGTAAAGCATAATTTTTAGTTTTTAATTGTATACATTTTTACATTAAGTACTTTTCATATATTTCTTTTATTTATATAGTGCCTAAACAAGAGTGATCTCACAGCTGTACAAACTGTAAAACAGTTCTGATACTGCCAACAAGCTTACAAACCAGCCACAGCACTACAGGAATGTACTTCCCCAAACTAAGTTAAAGAATTAAATTAGAAATACATTTTTGGAAAAAAAAAAGATACATTTAGAACTTCTTAATCCATTCATCATAATTTTCTTTGGTTTTTAAAATTGATGATCCTTTTTCACTTGATACCTCATTATGAGGTAATGTGCAGGGACGTATTGTACTGCATCATTGTATTGTTTATGGCTGTGAGAAGCTGTTAAACCAAAAGTCAAAACATGCTTGTTCAGTCTCTTGTATGCAATGTTCAGAAAATGGGCCATGCACATTTTCAGTATTCCATATCTTAATCAGGAACAAAGATTAAGAACAAAATTAGGCCCCATGCAGGACCAAATTCTGTTCTTACCTGGAGCACTTGGCAAAAAAAAAAAAAATCAATAGAGCTCTAGCTCCCTCAATTGCCTGCTATAGTATGTATGGATATTGCTGCAAGAAGCAAGTACATTCTTCATGAAACCCTTCTTCTTCTCTATGTAGTATGTGGGTAGCAAGAAGAGAAGGGTAGAACATAACTATGGTGAGGCTGTTTGTAGGCTTTCCATGCAAATATACTTGCATGGGCTTATCTTTACAAAACAGGGTCTAAACTAATAAATAATGCAAAATTTATCACGAATAATTGGGTTTTAGCCTAATTTCTTCCAAAATGTTAAAAATGTGAAATGACGGTTATCCATTTTTAGGGTAAAAGGCTTTATACCAATGGTTTTTATTTCAGGGCACTCACTATGCCCAAATAACTTTTTAAAAGTAATCTATGTTATGACAGGTTTTAATGCAAGGCTGTACAATACATTACGTTGTATGTCCAAATTTGCACACACAAAGAAACTATCGATATGAAGATCGATCTTGGCCAGTTAATGTATTAATGTTACAAGGTTATCAAGCAGTTTACATTTTTGTCACATTCAGATGGGGGGTGGTCACAAAAAATAGCTGATGGAATTCAGTTTAAATTTTGTTCTATAGCAGTTTCCCGTTATTGTTTTAAATGTAAATAACCAATAACATTCAGAAAGGATTTGACCTGAAACTGCACCTATTTGAACACAGTGCCGAGGGGCGGGGGGGGGGGGACATTGTAAAACTCCTTCAGTAAGTTGAGGACAAAGAAGAAGCCATAAGAACTGGAAGCGTTTGCAGAAGTACAAATTCTATAATCTAGCCTGTTTTTACTAATATTGTTTAAAGAAGGAGGAGTTAGTTATTTTTTGCCCCAATCAAGACTACTGGTTATGAAATTAAATGCTGTGCTTGCAGCATAATTGGACTCCTTCAAGACTGGTTTAAATCCTGAAATTTAAGAATGGCTGAGTTCATATGACAATAATTGAAAATGCAACATATTTATTGTTGCTGTTTTCATTCAAGTCTGATTTGAACTTCTGCTTTATGCATCTGCATAGACGCCTGTTCTGAATCTGATAAATTTTATAATATTTTTTTGACTATGCATTGCTACTACTGAGCTTCCAATCTGTTTTTAGCCTGCACAGTATTAACATTTTGACCTAGAATAGTCCCTCTGATTTTCTTTGGATTTTTTATTCCTTCTAATTCTTTGAAACTGCTTTAAATTGTTAGAACACCTTGTTTGCACAGATGAAGCACTCCTTTCTGATGGGCATAAATGGTTTTTTTTAGCTTGATGAAGGTCATCAGTTATGTTTAAGGCTGCAAAGCAGGTACATAATAATTGATCTCATTTGAAAGCTGCACTGGCAATAAGCTTTCCAGGAAAGGGTGGGGTTGTGTAAATTCCAACGATTATTGCATCTCTGATAAAATTCTTTCCTGCCTGCAGAGAAGCCTTTTTTTTTTTTTTTTTTTACTTTTACCTACGCAAGCTGAGAATTCAAAGATTCTCCGGAATTCCACATGAGTCCAGAAGGTATGATTTCAACTAGCCTTGAGAAGTTGTGGTCTTCTGCAATTCCACAAGTATTCCTCAATTTGTATTGTGCTAACCTGATTCATATTCTCCAACCTTCAGGCAAGTAAATCCATCTTGGAAGGAATGATTTCACCAAATCACACACGAGTGCTCCAGACCACCCTATCTGAATTGTCAGAAGTCATATCTTCCCATTCCACTGACATTATAGTTGACTACATTATGCTTATTCTGTTTCTACAGGTCATCTCCAATGTCAGTCGGGTGCCTCCATTCTGCTTGGTCCTTTCAGCATTAAGCTTTTCATCAATGCATCTAAATTTGGGTAGCTCAATATCTGAGACAGACCATCATATGAATAGGTGGACTCCATATTCTCAAATGCCATTAGCTAATTATGCTTTTTCAATCTGAGGGCCACGTTGGACATTCAAGGGATAGATGTTTATGGAGATTATCAGTCATCCAGGTCATGGTTGTCTCAGAGGTGCTTTTTCAAGAGGCAACTGGACCCTGGTTTTTCTTTGAAGACATTTCGCTTCTCCTTCAAAATGCTCATCCAAGGGATAGGGGAAATATCCGCTTTATAAATGAGAGAATAAAATTTAATTGAATGTTTCATTTTGCTCAATGTGATATGATTCACAACAACAGCAAAAAAGAAATGTAATAATTACAAAGAATGCTGTGATTGGACAAATGATATTAAAAATGTCAAACATTAGCAAATATGAATTGAAATTCATATGCAATATGAAGAAATAATGAATTGATTACTTCAGATGAGAAAGGGCTATTTTTTTTAAATAAATTTATTTAAATTTTACAAATTTACATTAAATGAGAATCTCCCCAATTTTGTGGCACAGAATACAAATAATAAATACACCACAAAAAGAACTTCAGTAAAACAAAGCAAAAAAGTTCTCCATGATGGGAAGCAGGGGGTGCTATCATCGGGCTGTTATCAATCCTGATTGGTCCATAGACTGAGAGAAAAGTGTTGCAGCCATGCCTCTACTCCTTTGCCCAGTTTCCTTGAGATCTATGGTTAGGCTGATAATTCGTTTCTCTCTTGTGAAAATTCAAAAGAACTATTTTACTCAGATTAGGCTTTAAACTAAATTCCGAATTTGACTTGCTATCTAAAACTTAAATTTCTACCTAAATTAGAGCAAGGAGGGGTGTTTAGTGCATTCCCCTCAGGGGCGCCAGATCACCGGTTTGAAGTTTGTATCTGTTCACCCTAGACAGAGGTAATTGGAGTCCCTACGGGAGTGGGCAGCATACAAATTCTATTAAACTTGGAAACTTGGATTGAGGTAGGTGGCTGACTAGAATAGTGTGAGGAGGAGGCTCATGCAGCCACAGTCCGGCGCTTGGGAAGGCTGTTTGAAAGCAGGAGGCTTGAAGCAAGTCAGCCAGCCATCATGCCGATCGCCTGGCCATCAATAGAACTGCCGGGACTTCAAACGACCGCCGACATCGCCAGAGAACTAGAAATATAAGTGCCAGCGTTAATAGCTTTGGGGGCTATTTTGCCAAGCAGGCGTGCCAATCCTATAGTATAGGGCTCGTTGGGCTTTGGCACCAGAAGTCGGCAGGCTGTTTTTTCAACAGAGTGTTGGGTGGCCATTTTGTGAGACATCAATTGCATTTTCTTTGAGCACACGAGGTGAACGTACTTCTCTGCCCCAGGCAGAGTATCTCTCTTAATCCACACTGTTGCCATTCCTGCGGACACATTTGGACTGTCTCGTATGATACCGTGAGTACTGAAAGGAATAAAATGGCTACCAGGGCTTCTAGCTCGGAACAGGAGATGGTTCCCACACATAAGACTGATAACCAGGGACCTGACAAAGGATCAATTAGGTCTTCCACCAGGGCCACTGCTAATAAAACCCTGGCTACACAGCACCAATCTAGAGCGGCGCTGCTTGACAAACAGTGCAGGCAAAAAGCCCTTGAGAAGTGGGTTGCGCACATAGCGCTTGCTGGAGGCTCAGAGATGACAGATCTAGATCTGCATCTGGGGGTTATAGTCAAGATTCTTTCCCAGCATTATCTATGGCCAGAGCCAGAAGGATGGATGTCTCTCCGCCATCTGTCTCTCCTTTGGCTATAGGGGGCGTAATAGGAGACCCCCTTGAAGGGACATCCAGGGACTTTCTTCCGCTGGCCCCTCAGGCCCCAGATCCGAAGAATACTATAGACCTTTATGAGGACCTTCAATCCTTGGAACCTCTTCCACTCAGCCTTCAAAGGATTATATCCTCAGCTATTCTTAGGGGCATCGCTTCAGGCCTGAAGCAACAGGGCACTCAGGTTCAGGGCCACAAGGATTCCCAGAACCTATCTCACACGGGGGCTCCCATGGTGAGCCAGACATCTGAGGAGTGTAGGCCAAGATCTCCCTTTACTGGCCAGTGACAGGTCTATACAGGGGGAGGAACCTCAGCTTGAGTTAGTCATGTCTGACGATGAGGAGTCAGCAAAACCTGACACCCTGGCCTTCGGCCTATTCCCACCTTCTCTGTTCAAACAGCTTTTGGGGAAGGCCAAGGCTACAACTAAGTTGGGTGGAGACTCCACAAACGCTCCTCTATTGATAAACACAAGGACTTATCCCAAACAATGTTTGCTAAAACAGCCA